GAAAAAAATATAACCTACAGTACACTAATCTGACAATATGATCATAACAAAACAAAGAATGAAAAATTAATTCAAAAAAAAATCCAACGTATATAAGCTGGCGCTCTCTCTAAACAAAATCAAAACTCCGATGTGGAATCTAAATCGAAAACAAACCTAATTCAACTACTCAAAAATACGCGATCAAACACTGTCAACACTCTTTGAAATGATTAAAAAACAAATAATAAAAAATCAATTCCAAATAAAATCAACTCTATCAGCTTCCCTCTTCAAAAAAAATTCAACAAAATACAAAATGCATGTGGTATCTCCATCGAAACCAACCCTGATTACTCCAACTGAAAATCTACCGCGTCAACACTGTACACATGAAATCTCGCGAAATCTCCAGCAACGAAATCATACAACGATTTCGTGAGATGTCTCGTCAACTGGTGGATCTCACTAGAAATCTTAAAATTCCAATGTGAAATCTCCGACACAAGATACAGAGTGTACCACGTCAACAGTATACGGGTTGTGTGTGTGTGAAAGTCAACAATATAAGTAAAAATTTAATGTTATAACGGTAAAGGAGTTAGTGGTTGAGGTATGTTATATATATAATTTGAAGGGATAATAAGTCCGAATACAAAACAGTATTTATAGGGTAAGCCTCTCCGATACAAACAGGCATAAAGGAGGGACCGTTAGGAGCTCAATTTTTCCTTAATTATATAGTGTTTCTATTATATAAATCAAAATTATCTATTGTGGCAAGTTAACTGTGATATAAGCTCATGAAAAAGTCAAAAAAATTACTAAAAATAAAAAATTCACAATTTATAGGTAGAACTAAAACAGTCAAAGACTATCTTTTCTCTCATAACTTTTTGTACTCTTTTTCGTAAAAATCAAAAATCATCGCCAAAACATAATTAATTTTTTTAAAAAGATAATGTTTTAGCACAAACACGCTACCTAAGTTGAGCATGTTTCCAAACGAAGGCCAGTCTCAAATTATCATTTCCCGTTTTCGAGAGCTGATGGTTTGTTTTAGCTCTTAGTGTGAAATTCGAGTTAATTTTTATGAAGAGAGTTTAATACTTTGTGGTGGTTGGCTTATTTCCCTCTCACATTATGGGTTTTTAAATTTGACCGATGATCATGTTTGGGTTTAAACTTGGTCGAGTTTTACTAGTGGTGAACTTTTTTGTTTAATAGATCATTAATATTTACGCGTGTAAATGGTAAATCTTTATTTTATTAGACAAAAAAAAATTATCACATTTAAATCTACTACTATATAAACATATTCTATTCAAACATAAATCCAGGTTGTTATGATATAAAAAATATTATTATATAGCACATAAGTATTGATAGAAATGTTGTGATAAATCCTCTATCTAGTTTAAATTCGTGTGAATTTGTAAAAGAATATAAGTGTGTATTATCTGTGTTATGATTTGGAAAGTGGATATAAGATGTCTATATTGGTGAATTATCTTCATAAGGCTAAAGGTAATTATTTTACATACATTGTTTTTGCAATTATGCTTAGATCTACACTCAGTGTGTGCTGTTGTTGTATATCTCTCACTCAACTTTTAATTGCCTTATCTTTCATGTCTTTCCGGTTAGTGTATTTTCGAATCAACTTAAATAATTAATTATTTCATTATCGTATTGTGTCGATGAGTCAATAGTGATATTTTATTAAAAATATAGCTCGGCACATAGTATAGACGATTGAAGATTTGGTTAGAGTGGATAAAGGTCTGAGTGCTGGCACGCTTGTTGCTGGCGTGCTATTCAAACGCTCGCACACAGTATGGCGAACTTAGCTTGAATACTGTTGGCACTCTGTTGAGCCATTTTTAGAAACTTTTGAGAGTATGTTATTTTCTTTTTTTTATGTTTTGGGAGATGCTTGGTGTTTAAATTGATTTTGGTTCTTGAGAGGAGTCAATAATATTTGTTTCGATTTATGCGCAAAAATATAGATATACGTTAGAAAAATTGTTTGGACTTAGAAATTATAGTCTCTAGAGATTGCTTTGTCGACCCACACAAAGTATTGAAAAGTACTTACCTAGTTGGTCAAACCTTACATGTTGGTTAAGATCTTATGGGTTTTATTGAATGAGCATAGGGAAATATAGGATAGTATCCCGCAGATAGCGATAGAGGGTCGCCTATATATAGTTTTGGTGGTTAGTTACTGGAAAGATAGGTAGACCCATTAAGGTCAGCGCGCATATTGTGTGTGTGTGTGTGTGTGGAAAGAGATAGAGATAAGAGGAGGACCAGAGTGTGAAAGTGGGCATGTAAAACGTCTTAAGTGTGTGAGTGTTGGTTAGTGGAAGACAGATTTAGGGTCACCCTTGCTTGTTCAAGGTTAAACCGCCTAGTTATTTATTTCAGGATTTTGGAGGTCCGAGTGGGTCCATGTTAAGGGAAGGTTTTGGTGTGTGTGATTTATTTGACCTTGGGGTATTTGCCTAACTAGTATAAATAGACGCCAAACGCAATTACTGCGTCTGTGATACTTTGTGATATCGTTTTCAAATCTCAATCCGTGATTTTCGTCATAAAAACGTGTAACTGTTTCGCACTTAGATCTTCAGTTATAGCTCTTACGCTAGAGCAATCGTGTATATTCACTATTGGTACTTGTGGGAAAGGGTTTGAGTTTTGTAGAGGGTTAGTATATATCGTCCAAGTGTTCGTATATTTGAATCCCAGTCGGAGTCGTGACACGCTAGGTTTCGCCACCTGATTATTTTTGGGAGGATGTTTTCTCTTCCGCTTCAAGAGGTAGAGATTTCTTTGCTCTTCCAATACTCATCTATGGAAAGACAGTGGGTAGTTTTATTGCATAAAAAACCATATTCATTATGAATTTTTCTTGAAAGCCATGAAAGGGGATCTAGGGTTGATATTGGTGAATGGTGTTGTTAAATTGTTTGGTTGTTGAGTAATTTGGGAAATGATTTTACTATGTTTTGTGAGAAAAGGGAAGGAAGTCCTGCTGATGACGAATTGATTTTGGCATGAATGATACAAATGGCTCCTTCCGAATACTTTTGATTGCCAGTATCTGTAAATAGTATGTGTCAATTGCCAAGAACATGAAATCTTTGATGATGATAGATGGTCGATCTGTCTAATTTTGTTCCTATTTTCAGGTTTAGATGAGTCATATTTGTTGGGTGGAGAGAGAATCCATACAAAACAGAAGGCTAACGGAGTCATAATTGATCTTTAAGACTAGACACATGTCAGCATGAGAATTAAGGGACAGAGAGTTGGGACAGGCTTTTGGAACAGGAGATCCGAACCCTCAAATCAAAGGCCTAACAAATTTAATTAACGAACCAATACTGATAAGTAAAAGCTGGCCTTATGGTCAGGCAAGACGTGTCTCACACCTTCCCATCTTGTACCTTAGCCCGCAAAGACCTAGTCTTCAGTGAAGTTAGACCATGCCTTATTTTGGAGTCAAACATTTTGGTTCCTTGATTTACCCTGAAACCAAGTGGCAATTCTTAATCTTTTTCAAAATCTAAATCAAAACAAACATTTTTCCAAAATCCATTGCACTTGTATATGTTACTATCATTTGTCACACAATTTTTCATGTTGAACATTGCAACATGTTTTTATTACAGAAGAAAACTTAGGGACCATAATCCATTTATTGGTTACAATGGATGAAACTAGATGATATATGCTTGGAATTCTTCATCTTGTTGTTGATCTTAATAAAAAGACCGATTACTTTGCTTGCCGAAAATGCCAGGTCCATATGTTGAAGACATGAGATCCACAAGGAGGGGGAACTGTAGGAGCATGAAAGAAGAAATTGGTAAACATGCTGATGTAACAACTAAACTAAGTAGCCAGCTGTTCTTGTCACCCAACATAAGACACAGCGTCGAGCTAAAGGCTACAATCATGGCTATTATGGAGAGGAACAATGTAACAAAGCCAATAATTAGCCTATGGGGAAGAACATGGAGAAAATCATCTTCAGCATATCGCGAAGTGAGGATGGACAAGAATATCAGAAGAGAAGTGGTGGACATGAACAGAGCAATTGCATCTGAAACTACGAAAACAATAAATGCTTTTTCTGTTGAGAAAATTGGGAGTCCACTTGTGTTATTGTTCCCACCTGGAACAATTATTGCAGCAGTAAATACTATAGCAGTAATGAGTGTCGCTGCAATTGTGCATGAGGTTGCTCGGTTTTTCATCCATTTCTCTCCTTCAACTACTAAATCCATGTGTTTGTTGGTGAAAACTGTTGAAGGAGTTTCTCCATCGTCATTTTGCTTTTCTATATGACTAGGGTTCACAAACTTCTCCACTTCCTGTACGATAGCCAAACATTTTGAAATAATGGATCAATGTATTTGTCTTTTTTAAGACTAAATTTTGGAAAATTGTTGCTTGATCTTAAATTGAAACCACACATACTTAGGCTAAAGAAATGCAGATGCTCACACACAAACATTAGTAACATACATCAGTAATTAGTCCTTGGAATAGAAAGAAGTATTGTATTACCTTAAACCATTGTAACTCACGCTGCATCTGCAGAGCTGCACCTGGAACAACACTGAGTTTCTCTATAGGTGCTTTGTTTCCAACCAAGTGTAGCAGTGTGTTCCCATTATCGTCTTCCAATCGTGTAATATATTGTTTATACTCACCCATTTGATACAAGAGGTTGAAAACATTTTCATGGCGCTTTATAACTGCGAGTTGAAATATGTTTCGATTTTCGAAGTCTCTAGCAAGAATTGCTCTAGGCAACGAATTCACAATCTCTTCTATAATCTCGTGAATCCCTAACTTTGCTGCTACAAGGAGTGGACTTCTAGCAAGTGATCTATAAGCTTTCAAGTCTTCTAAAGATCTAACTTGCTCACATAAGTATTTGACTAGTTGGAGTGCTTGATTGTGCTTCAATTTTTGCTCTCGTATGTGTTGTACGTGTTTAATGGGAGGCACTGCAATTGCAAAAATCGTAGATATGGTAAGTTATAATTGAATCGATGTGTGTACAATTGCGCGCACACACACACACACAAAAAAAAAAAAAAAAAAAAACAGGATATTCCCTTGTAACAGAGGGATGATAAACCCATCAAGCTGGTACTTCTCGTCCATTACCTAATAATTCCAAGACTCTCCAAAGCATGGCCTTCACTTTTTGCCTTGCTGTACGTCATAAAACACAATAAAACTTGTTTTCATATGGAAGGAAAATGTTATGATTATATCTAAGTGCATTGTGTAACTGACAAACTATAACTAACTTTACAAAAGATTTACAAGCAATTTGAGCAATGTGTGTGCAATTCAAATAAGTAAAAGTAAAACAAAATAAAAAAAGAAATTAGTATCATAATATGTATGGGATTCAAGTGGTAAAAGTTTCATTCTCCTAGAGTAAGGTCTTGTTAACTTAGCTATATAATTTTTTTTTTAATAGAAAAATCATGTGCCTCATGGCGTGAGGACAAACAAAGTATTCAGGACACTAAAAGACATGTATATAATAGTATAATAGTATAGATAATAATTAGCAGTTAGTAGATGCAATACTTGTGCAATTCAAATAAGTAAAAATAAAAAAGAAAAAAGAAAAAACTATTCAATGTATGTTGTGTAATAGTCAAGTGGTGAAAGCCTTCTTCATGAAACCTTTGGTTTAAGGTTGAAGTCTTACCCCCTCCCCTTTATATATCGGATGTTTGACATGTGCTAAAATAGCACATATTATTCTATTTGAGTCACAATCATTTTATTTGTGTCACATCACCTCTCTATCACATACTTCAAATCTAACTCTTATTTTATGTTTTTTCGTAAAAAGTTAAAAAATATACTTATTGATCATTCTAAATACCTCTTAAGTTTCTTAAATGGAAAAAGGATACTTGGAAAAATGAGAGAAGAAATTTGAGGACACCAAGTAACTTGCTCACTTTATATACTCAAAGTCAAGATTTCAAGTCTTGTGTACATTTTTATTTTATTTTATATTTTAAATAGAAAATAAGGATAAGTGACATAAGGAAAAGGCTAGACTTATATAATAGTATAGTTAATAATAATAATAATTATTATATTTTGATTTGATGCAGGATATTAGAGAAATCATAATTATCATCATATTTATTTCATTTAGTTCATCTTATAGAGTTATGTCTATGTATCGAGCCAATTAGACTTAAAAGACTATGAACCTTATCATGAGCACATAAAAAAACAAAAATACCTAAAAATTGAAAATTTTGATGAAATAATTCAATGATTAAAAAAAATAAAAATAAAAATAAAAACTATGACTTAAAAGACTATGAACCTTATCATGAGCACATAAAATAAAAAATAAAAAACTATGACTTAACAAATTGCATTCATAAATAAGATATGGATTAACAAAGAGTTTATATGACAAACCAGAAAATGAGAACATTCTTTCCAAAAAAACGAGTCCAATTGCACTTGTGCGCAGTCACTTACTTGGATTCAAAATGTCATCTCTTTCACTGTATTCGGCAGATTGCTCTACCTTCACTGGAACATCTTTAAGAAAAAACTAGCCTCAGAAATTTGGGCAAAATACAACAAAATTCATAGTTTAACTATAATTATAGGTTTTTTTTTAAGATGATAATTAATTTAATTTTTATCAATAATTTGTTAATTATATGGATAAAAAATTGGGAGATTGATATATTTAACAATAAGATGTACAATTTTTCTTATTTATTCGTGTGATTTCACACTATTTATATTAGTTTTAGTCGTTTTAATTTTTTTATACTTTAAAGTAATTTACCCAAAAATAAATTTGAGTTATAATCCATGACGAAATATTCTTCGGTGTGCAATGCATACCGTATGCGACTCTATCACAAAATTACGTAAGTTTTCACGAACTTACACAAGTGATCTCACAAAAATACATAAATTCGCTTAAGTCTATTTATAAAAGTTATGAAATTACAAATTGAAAAATGTTTGAGACTTGCAAAGAACACCCACAATTGTACCCACAATGATGTGGTATTATATGTGTCAACTCTTGATTTGCTATACATTAATGATATGGGGTTCAACTCCCTTGTCATATCATTGTGGGTAAAAAGGGTTGGCTGTAGCATTGCTCTTACAAATTTATGCAAATTTGTGTTCAATTTATGTACCTTTGCGAGATCACTTATGTAATTTTGTGATAGAATTGCATACAGTGCACATTGCATACCGAAACATTATTGTTCTCAAAGATAGCCACTTTAGTGTTTCATAGCATAGGCATAACTTACCCCAACCCACGCATGCACTATTTAATTTATTGGAATGAGTTGAAATATAATGGAATAGTCATTCCTTATATTCTTGTATAGATGACTATTCTCTTGAAATAATAAATGTTGATTCTATTTATAATTCATTTTGTCATTATTTTTTGAGTTATTTACGTGGAGTCCCCCTAAACTATTAGAAAGTATTACTTTGATCCCTGAACTATAAAAGTGTATAAATGAACCTTCTAAATTATTTAGAAGTATTGTTTTGCTCCCTAAATTATAAAAGCATATAAATAGCTGTGAGACCCCTAACTTTAGTAATCCTTATTAGGTCTCTAAATTTTGAGTTATTATAATAATAAAAAAAAACCCTTACTTCTCCGTTTATTCGCAGAATTAAACCCTAGAACCGAAAACGCATTAAGGATGAACCCATACAAACCTTAATCGACCCTGGAAGCTTAGAAATTATTTCTAACACTCTAATTTTAATTATTTAACTCTCAAATTTTAGATTAATCTCTCTAAACCTTAACTTCCGATTTTTACAGTTTTCGTTCGGTTATTCACCTTTAAATTCAAAGTAAGATAATACAAACCGAATTATTTTTCAAACACTAATTTATTAACTTTACACTTGAAATAGATATTTTAATTGAGCACAAGCCCTCACATTTTTATTACATCACATTTTAACCCCAAAGAAGTACCATTATATATTTATGTATACACTAGTACCCTAAAACCTTTTTTAAACATTATATTTTACAATTTTCAACATTCATACCCAAAATAATAATAAAGTAAATCCCTTACATCACCATTTATGGCCAGCCATAACCTATATAGATACTATGAATGTACTTTGAGACAGTTTTGCATGATTTAAGAAAAATATCTTTGACTTTGTACAAACTTTTATATATATATATATATGTATGCAACTAGGTTGGTCTGATTAGGAGGAAAACCCTAACTAGATCATGTTTAGGAACCTAATTAAGGCCTCTAACCCTCCACTATTCTATTGAATTCAAACTAAATCCAAACTATCCAATCCAATTCCAACCAATGGGCATTTATGACCTTTTGCACCAAATTCATTATAAAAACAACCTCTCCCATAGCATTTTACATGCAAGAACACACACATACACATTATATTCAGCTGAGAGAGAAGAGAGGAAGGAGGGTGAGCTTGGTAGAAGAGAGGAGAGGAAGAAAAAGTTTGCTAGCAATTCAATCAAGCCTCAAGTAAGTCACAACACAACTCTCTCTTATTTTTCCTTTCAAATACATGCTCTTAGAAGTTTTAAACATTCATTTCAGATGTGTTTTGATAGTAATTTTGTGTTAAAAATAAAAGGAATTGAGCTTTGATTCTACCCTTCTTATATTTCTCGTAATCAGTATAAGACGATCTTTTTTTATACCAACCTCTCAAAATTTCCAAAGGCACGCCTTCACCTTAAGTTTCTGAGTTTAATACATATTATTTAGCATGTTTTCATTACAAGAGAAGTGAAAATTTTTCCCTAGTTAACCTCTTTTCTCACCAACTTTCTTATTGCAAGAACTATGCCAAAAAATCTATTTTATGTCCAACTCTTCCTTAAGGAGTTAAATTTCAAGGAAAATTGGTTTCATTGAAAAAGAGTGAGCTATTTGTGAGAAAATCTGATTTTCGTAACTGTCGACGAATCTAGACAAAGTTGGAGTATTTCTGAAATATCTAAAAATCGGGAAAAACTACTCCATTTCTGAAAAATGTTTTGAAAACTATATAAAATTCTCTATGAACCCAGAAATTCTGGAAATTCTTTAAGTGGTTTTGAATTTGGAAATTCTGTTTCGCCTTGGTGATATAGCAGATAAGAGTTATAGATTTTATCAAAGTAAGATCAGAGTTATTTTTGGTGATCCATGGAGAAATATCGAGATTAGAGTGTTGGCGACGAATGAGATTGATTTGAGGTAATTCGGATGGTATACAATATGCTTCCTTTAAATCTCTTTGCAAACAGTGTTATTTTAATCACCTTCAATTTGTACTCCTCTTGATGATTTTGATAATTTAATAAATTATGTGGAATTATTCGTTATTGATTCGTTTGATTACTCTAATCATTTTATGAACTCTGTGTAGTTATTTTGTGTTAGAAATGTTAATTTGTCTGGCTAAATGACGTGAAAATGCTTCGTACACGGATCGAGTAGACTTTGCCAATATGCTCTGTACCAATAGCCCGAATAAGCGGTGGGGTGAGGCGGTCACTAGTCATGTACTGATTAAGACCGGGTATTTGGTCATGGATAAATTATCATAGGTCGAGTTAACTTATTTGTGCAATTTGATAAATTACTTGGTATCTCGAATTGAATCGTTTGTGTAATTGTTAGATCCCTGTGAAATTATTCATTCTCCGAGCTTTGTTACTCCTGTTGTATTATATACTTCCCAAATTAATTTATTTTTATTGTGTGGAGCAAATTTAGTGGCATTTGGGGTTGAAGAATTTAAAGGATTATTGAGTTAGAGATTATATATTATTTTTAGAGATTTGTATAAGTTATATTTTGGAGACTTTTTTGTAATTATTTTAGAGACAATTTTGTATTTTTAAGGTTATTAATTAGTTAGAATTTTAAATTTGAGATTGAGTTGATTTATTAACTGCTCGGAAGTTGGGGTGTTACAATAGCCCTAAACTATTGACATGTTTCACTTTGACCCCTTCTATTAGGCGGTCCAATTGGTACACTTTTGTAGTTTAGAGAGCTAAAGTGATATTTCTCAATAGTTTAAGGGGTTCATTTGTACACTTTTCTAGTTTATGGGAACTTACGTGTAGATCCTAATAGGTGGACTTATTGTCTAATAGGTCCTATGATAATTAATGGTGTTTTTCATCAAAAACTATTAAAAAATATCACTAACTATTAATTTTTATCGATAGTTTGAAAATTATCACCAAAAATGTCATTAATTATAAGTTTTAGCGACAGTTTAAAAAATTGTCACAAAAAATGTCACTAATTTTTAACTTTCAGTAGTAGTTTGAAAAATTCGTCACAAAAAAATATTACTAATTGTAAGTTTTAGTGATAATTTATAAAAAAACGTGACAAAAAAAAAGTTACAAATTGTCAATTTTTAACGAAATATGAACAAAATCGTCATAAAAAATTATTCTTAATGACGATTTTGTTATGACTTATTTTTAATAGGACTTTATGAGAATTAAATCTAACTATTAGGATCTATTGATAGTTTAGAGGGTCAAAACTGATATTTCTTAATAGTTTAGGGGGGTCTTCGTATAAATAATCCTTATTTTTTTAGTCAACCAGATATAAGAACAAATATTTTGATAAAATGATCTTTCCATTCTGTTTCATTCCAATGAATTAAATATTTTTGATAGCCAATTTTTTTTTTAATTATTTTTTGTCATCCACTAGTGAGAGATATGAAATAAATAAATAAATAAACTGTGAAAGGCTAAAAGATGAAAGAAAAAAAAAAATTCCATTTCCTAAATAAGTAGAACTTCATTGACAACATATTTTTTGGTCTTAAACATAGGGCTAACTGATTTAATTAAAGCCAATTTTATAGTATATATTATTTTATAATATTTCGGGAAAATAAAAAAAACAAATAAGATAAGGCATGGAATAGCAGAAAGAATGGAGGGTTAGGATTGAATTTGTGAATTATGAAATTTATGTGGAAAATAAATTTAATTCATAAAATAATAATTTTAAATAATTTTTGAATAGTTAACTAGTATTAGTGGGGTAGAAAAATGCTTGGAAGCACTCATTAGTGCTCCCACTAATTAGGTGGCAGTGGGTCTCGCCATTAATGATGTGATGTTTTGGTCTTGAAGTTGTATTTTTTTTTTTTTAATGCATTAGTGCTATTAGTAGTGATATTTTTAATGAGATGAATCATTATTGTAGTGGGGTAACTAAACACTTACAATAATATATTATGCTTTGCCAATGATTGAAATGACTACCACTTCTGAATGCAGACACCTTTTTAGCCATTTCTCCCAGAGCACATCGATCCTGAAAGCTTGATTTCGCTACCTCGGGATATTGCCTAACCAAATCCAAAGCTATATCTGTATAATTAAAAAAAAAAATGTTATATAAAAGAGCGATATATTTAATATCTTTAGATTTGAAAATTGTTATATAATTTATATTTTTAACGAGATTTTTTTTGAATGATTATTCAATAATCTCATATTGCCAACTCAACAAGTTATGTATTGCTTTTGAATCAATAATTAATCTCTTGACTTTTAGGCCGGATTTGGAAATTGCTTTTAGTATTTTTCCTTTAGTTAAGTGTTTTGTAACTGCTAAATATATATATATATATATATATTGTCAAACTTGCATTTTGATAAGAAGTTGCATATTACTCTTATGCACTAATTTTTTTCATCAAATCAAACCAGCGAGTGAACATTTTGACCGAATAATTATTGTGTTCTATTTCATTTCAGCGAACTAAACAACACTTAATAGTATTGTGGAGATGTTGTAGGAAGATGGTGAAGGTATTGAGTGTAAAATTAATTTTTTTTACAAATTTGCTAACAAATGTGTTTCTATCTATTTTATTTTTTATATGAAGAAGTAATTCCAAACAAGTTTATTTACTTAAAAAGTTACTTTTATTCAGGTCTTTTCAAAAAGAGGGCAATATATAGTTTTTAATAACCGTACTTGCATATATATTGGTATGGATAATACAATAAAAAATATTACTCTGTATAACATAGTATCAGCTAATCATAATTCTAAAAAATTGAGAGGAACATAGTGTACTAGCTGATACTTATCGGAAAATCAAGACCCATTACGGATACCCACCGGTATACCGGTGTGAATGAAAATTGTCGGCATTGCAGCCGGTTCCCGTTACGCAACGGGGTGTAACTATTACACAAGTCGCGACAGACCGATACTCACCGTGACGGGAAAGAAAGTACTGAAAATCGGTTAAGTAATTTCACGGCCGCGACACGTGATTTTCGATACATACCAGCCAATACTACCGATACCGATACTCCACAATAAACCGTTATGTTAACCAATACAGCGATTTAAAACCATGCAGCTAATAGAGAAAGGTCTAAAATACCAATACGTATCAATGAATATGATATGATATACCAAAGGTGGTGGCAAAACTCACCATAGAATCCAGAAGCTATGACAAGAACAAGAAGCTCAACGCCAGAATCATCTTCAAAGGGGGCCATGTGCTCCAAATCATTCTCAATTGGTTTTTTGGTCTTACAATCAGGTTTAGTGACCATTAATAAATATGAAAGGGTGTCCTTATGAGCACTTCGAGCAGCCCAGTGTAGAGGTAACCAATTATCTCCGTTGCGAATGTATAACAAATCCGAGTGTTTGGCTACTAAAATTTTAGCAGCATCTGTGTTGCCGAACCGGGCTGCAATGTTGAGGGCAGTCGCACCTACACTGTCATTTAGTTCCAGCGCTTCCACTGGCATCAAATCCACCAAATTCTTCACGAACTCGATTGACTTACCTGTTGTTGTTGTAATTAGGCTTATTAAAATTGGGGATCTTATATAGGATTGTTGGGAAGAACTTACGGATCGGATTGTAAAATCCAATCCAGAATTATAAGATTCTACTTTCAATACAAAATAAAATGAGAAATTATGACCTTTCTTGTACCAACCTAGTTGGAATGAGTAGGTTTCACTATAATGCTTATAGCACTTCATTTGTCTGTCTTTATTAATATAAAATGTAAAGGATTTATTCTTGATTCTGATTCAATAAAGTTTATTTTTGTTGATAAAAAAAATGATTTATTAAAGAAAAATGATAAATTTAATATAATGCATCTTTTATATTAACATAAATTAGATGATATATTATGAGAAAGAGTTTTTTAAACACAAATTTGTTAGAAATATATATATATATATATATATATTTTTTTTTTTTTGTGCGTGTGTGTGAGATAGGATCGGTATCTAGTAAAATTGGGCTACACAATTTTATTACTAAGGTCATAGTTATTTAGGATCCTGCTAAACTTAAAATCCTAATGTAATCCGAATCGTTTAACCCAACTAGATTAGTGTGATTTGAATCGTTTTTCCAATTTTAAGATCCTGCAATCCGAATCGAAATTCTGGTAACCATGTTGTAATATAGTTTGAGTTTTGCGTTTTGAATTTCAAATACATTTTTTTATTTAGTTATTTTTCTTTTAATATTTTCATCAATTTTTGTTACATTTTAGATGTATTTAACTTAAATGTACCTAAAAATTAAAATTTTTGTTTTTTTTTTTTTGAAAAATTCATTAAATTTTTGTTTTTGTTTTTGTGTTTATTAGTTTTTTTTAAGAATTATCTACAAATAATTATTTTTTAGGTGCATCTAAGTTTTGTATATCTAAAAAAAATTTAAAAAATTAACTAAAAGATTAAATGATTCACTAAAAACAACAAAATATGAAAAGCAAAAAAAATTATGTTTCAAAACTTAAAACCAAACAAAATATATATTTCAAAATACAAAATCAATTTAACATGTTTTAATTGCCCATAATAAAGATGAAAACATTAAATTTAACAGATAATATTAGAAGCACAAAAATGAAAAAAATGAAAAAATGTGTAGATAAACTGAAAAATATTAGGAAAGGAAAATATATATACACAAAATAACAAACATTGAAAAAATGCATACATAGTAAAAAATAATATTACACTGACCTTGTAATGATTTTCTCAAATATATATTGGCCTGAATATGCCTGAATAGTGGGAAGGAAGGTGAAGGGAGGTGCTACGTAATCTTTTTTGAAAATGTGAGTAACAAGGCTTGAATAGTGGGAAGGGAGATGAAGGGAGGTGCCACGTAATTTTTTTTGAGTAATGATTGAGACTCACACCCGCACAAGACCCCCACAAATCTAGACTACTCATGATGTGGACCTCACACATACATGGAGGGTCAGGATCACTTTAGAGGTATGGGGGTCATCCCCAAAAGGGGTCCCAAACATTTTCCATTTTTTTTTCCCTTCAAAATTATGAAATTTTAGGATTCAAATTTTGGAGTCTTTTGACCTCACAACTACATTCGATTATATATATAGTATATATATATATATATATAGATAGATAGATGGATAGATGAAGTAATGTTTTTCCCTTTCTTATGTGACACATTTCAAAGACTTAATTTTTTCAGCATGCTTTTTTTATTTATATATAGAGTTCTACACAAATTCAATTTGAATTATACTAACCAATTTTATATGAACTCTATTTGAAATATTTTTTTTTCATATATTTTCCATTGTGTATTTAGTTTTGTCATTATTATTTTTTTATATATAGTTGATATTTTAACTTACTTATCATGATATTTGAAAAACAATATTTATCTGGATTTACAAAAATAAATGAGACAAAATGTGCTTGATTATGTGCATCGCATGGATCAAATTAATTTTCTTTTATATTTTTTATCTATCTTATAAATGTCTTAATATTAATTTATATTTATCTTTTAATTTAACATGAAATTATATATTAAAATAATTATATTTAATTTAAATTTAATATACCTATATACAATATGTATGAATAATTCAAAAATAATGTTAAAGAAAAATTCAATACTCTATATAATTAATTTATGTATTTTCTTCTTAATCCAATCACAACATTTTTATATTTAATCTTTTAAATAATTTTTGTGTAGTTCTATTTCTACATATTTGTATTTTTCAAATCAAAATAAAATTAAAATTAAATAATTAGAATCACTTTTAATTTTATATTACTGATTTTCTTTCTAATTTAACTATTATTTTTATGAGTATTTATTTTACTATATTATAATTTAATATATATCATATAAATCATTATGTGATAATTCAATTACAACATATTTATATTTTATTTTTTAAATAAATTTTATATGGTTTCTATTTCTACATATTCTTATTTTTCAAATGACTATTAGAGAAAATTAAATACTTATAATCACTATTAACCTTGAGGTAATAATCCTGAGGTTATGGGTTTAAGTCTCAGGGCAATCATTTTGTGCACCACGTTAAAGGTTAAGTGTGTACTCAATCTTTTCCTTTCCAAACACGCATTAACGTATACTAATTGGACATTGTTTTTTTTTTAATTAATTCTCCATTCAATTTAATTATTATTTGTAATTTCAAAATAAATATTTATTTTATCTATCTTATAATTTAATATATATTATATAAAATCATTATATGATTATTACACTTTTATAACTCAATTGAATTAAAATTATCAAAATAAATAAATTATTTAACTAAATTTATTATATTTAAATATGCAAGTAACACTTTTATATAAGGATAGAGTTGAGATTGTTAAAATAAATATTTTAAATTAAAATTAATATTTAAAGAAAAATTAATCCGTGCAATGCACGAATCATCATCTAGTTATTTTTTTATGATAAATCTTGCATGCAATTTTACGACACCTGTTGCAACGGCTACGTGGAGTGCAATCTCCTCGTCTGTGGTGATCTTGGCTGTGAGTGCATCTCCATCTCCATCAATGATCCGTTTGGCTTCTTCCCAGTCTCCTGTCAGAGCAGCTTTCTGTAGTGGTTGGTACTTCCAATACTGTTTCTCCAGAGCTGTAAATCAACAAAATCGTTCATGACGCTAAAAGGTCGAGTTTGACAAGTTAGAAAGAAGTTAAAAAATTAAAAAAATTATTTAAAAAATTAAAAAGTTATTATTATTTATCAAAAGTTAAAAATTACGGCTGTATAACTCTTAATTCTAATTTTTTTTTACACACTAATTTTTACAATTTTTTAATACATATTTTTTCATAAAAAGTCAAAAAATTAACCCAAACATCCATATTTTTTTTTCACAATTTTTTAGTTCAAAAAGACAAAAATTACACTTATTTAAGACAGTCCAAACAACCCCTAAATTCGTTTCGATAAGAGTATGCTTAAATTTAACTTGTTAAATTTATTTTTTATTTAATTTTTTTTTTTTTGTGTTTGAACTCAAATTTAAACTCGTTGAATTTTTAATAAATAACTCTAAATATATTAAAATTCAGCTCGTAAGCTCAATTTATTTAGCATTTATTATTTATATATTAAATAATATAAAAATATATATGAAAAATAAAATAAATATGTTATTTATATATTTAAAAATATAAATGTAAAATAGTTGTTAACTATAGATAGGACATTTATATAATAATGATGGTAGATATTATTATTTTGATAAAATATTAATTTTTTTAGTATATTTATATACATTGTATAATCAAAATTTTAATTGTAATTTTAGTATCATACGCAAGTGTAAATTTATAAATTTGTTGGCTCGTTAAGGCTCATGAATAGACTCGAACTCAAACTCGAATCAAGCCTAAATCAACTCGGTTCGAACTCAATTTTTCAAATTTTTGTTGAGTTCAAGCTCAAATTCAAACTTGTAAAAATCTTAACAAACAAATTTAAGCATATTAAAACTCTACTCAACTAGGTCAACTTATTCTCCAGTAACTCTTTTTCAATTATGATAGAGACCACTAATTTGGTGGCTCTAATCCATTACTAATTAGGTGAAAAAAAAAAAGAGCAAGACACAATACACACTGTGGCAGTGGGTGAGACTCACTGCTACATCACTAGTGATGGCTCTAATTAAAGCTCTCACACATTTTCCATTCTTTTTTCAACTTCTTATCTGGCATGCATCAATGTACATTAGTGTTTTTTTTTTGGGTATAATTTAACTATTATTTGTATTAGTTGAGGTATGACAGATGTGTTTAAAAGAGTTTTTTTTTTGGATCTTGTTTTTTTTTTTTTTTGGGTCAAATTTTCTTATAATATTGTAGTCACTTTTGTTTACTTATTTTACATACATACCTATTTTGTGAAGTAAGTTAAAAGTTAATTTTTTGACTTTTTTTAGTTTTTATTTTTAAAAAAAAAACGTGTAAAAAAATAGAGAGATAAATGACCAAAAAGAGTTAAAAAGTCAAAAAATTGGCTTTTAACCAATTTCTTAAAATAAGCCAATCTAAATGTACTTTCTGAATATATCTAATATAATCTATAGGGCAGAGTTTCCATGTGTATATGTTAGTTCGTAAAAACGTTTTTGAAATTTTAAAACTGTTTTTTTTTTTTAATATCCACTCAATGTACATACGTTTAAAACGTTTCATATTCATTTATTCACATTTTGTCTACTGTTTATGTATATTTTTTGAATCTCCCATATATATTTAAAACATAAATTATTTGGCCAATATTTAAAACTAACTTAAAGTTCCACATCGGTCTATCAAATTTAAATTTAATTGATTTTTCCTACTAAATAGAAAATTAATTTTTAATTTATTCAAAATAACAAATCATGTTGTTACAATTTTTTCTATGATGACTATAGTTTACATTACAAAGTTTCATCCAAAATATAACAAAAATATCTTCATAAAAATAATCGTACAAAAGAGTTTTGAAATTAATTTTAAAAGACAAGTTTTTGAAAATAGTTTTAAAAATCTAAAACTTATTTGGTTATAAGTTTTGAAAATAGTTTTCAAATCGATATTTTGAAAAGAGTTTTTAAAATCCATAACCAAATAAGTTTTTAGATTTTAAATTGTTAAATTGTAATGTGAAAAGAAAACCAAACGCAGCCCTAGTGGTTGAGACCACCCTAAGCTGATGTGGCAATTTTGGCTGAGCGAAATTTTAGCTCTAAGCCTCTGTTTGGGAAGATAGTTTGGGATTTTTTGGGTTAAAATAGTCACAAAAAAATAAAATAAGTTTTTTAGCTCAATAAGATAAAACATTACATTCAACATAAAATTATTACATTATTTCTCTCAGAAAAGTCAAAAAAGTCAAAAAAACTAATCTTAAACGAAACTTTTTAGCCCCAGGCTAAAATAGCCAAAAAGTCAATCCACTTCCCAAACGAACCAAAATTTGGAAAACCATTGGAGAGTGTTTTCTATGGGACAAGGGGAGGGTGCTCCTACAACACTTTGTTGTGACATCTCAGTTGGGATTTGTATCAATTTATTTTGATAATTTGAATCGTTTATATGTAGAGTTCTTCAAATATATCATCCATATAAAAAATAAAATTAATTGAACATACATAGGCCATAATTGTTTTTAAAATAATTATCAAAATTATGCTAACCATCTTTTTTTTTTTTTTAACATAAAAGTGATCTTGTTACATGCTATAGATGTCCAGTTGACTTAAATTTTTTATGAATGATCTACTCGGCAAACTCTATAATTTGAACGGTTCGAATCATTAAAATAGATTCGAGAAACGTCTCACAAACTCACAATATGGTGTTGTGTTTATCCAGTTTCCGTTTTCTATGAAGTCATAACTAAAAATGGCACCATTGGAATCGCTCTAATTGTATCAATTTTATCTTTAAATTTTTTATATTTTGTCAATTTAATTCAAGGGACAAAATTCAGGACCTATGGCATAGCAAGAAATAAGTGACATAGTGAAATAAAATGAGATGATAACTTGAGAGAGCATTTAGATTTTGTAAGCCCATTTTAGAATCGATTTTAGCGATTCGGACCGTTCACTTTTTTTGACTCTTTGAGTAGCATGTTCATGCAAAAATAAGATGATTAGATATCGGTAACTATATGTTTCAATTATCTTAGTTTTTAAAAAATGAACAACAAATATAATTTCAAAAATAGCCATCAATTTTTTGTAATACAAATTTAATTCAAATATATAGCTATCAATTTCTGATCATCTTGATTTTTTTGCATAAATATTTTACTCAGCAAGTCTTAAAAAGTTAACAATTCGGATTATCGAAATACGACTTATGATGAGCTCTACCGCTCAAATTCTCTTATATTAAAATATGAATATGAGAAAAGGCAAATCCGAAAATAAAATAAGTCACCCATGTCTTTTATTTCAAATCAAAAATTTTTGACCCTACCAAACAAACATACAACAATTGAATCTTAAATTTTCGGACAATGTATGAGTAAATTATTAGGTATTCATGAATCACTTTGTGACAATATTTACGTGTATTCTAAATCGATGACAGTAGTCGAAAAATCTTAGAGGTAGGTAGGACATAATAACTCATTTTTATTAAGTAGTTGAAAGATAAGAAATAACTTATTCAATGTGGATTGTGGTTTATAATAAAGTTATTCTTCTTATTAATAATTTAATTTTTTAGATGATGAATCGTTGTTTAATAATTCAATATAGTATCAAAGTAGACAAATGTTCGAATCTCACCATGTACCATATAACTAAAAATATTGGCATGTGTTTCAATTTAAATTTTTAGATGAATTAGAAAGAGGTATATATATAAACATGAAACAAATGAAGACGAAATGATATGGCAATGGATGATTGGACTTTAATTCTTTCCATTCTATATATATAATGACGAGATTGTATATTTAATGTTTATAAAATAGGAATATAAATTTATAATTATTTTAAATTAAAAATAATAATTATACTTACCATTAGATGATATAATGGAATTTATCCATTATGAATATGCAATGAAAATGATCACAATCCTTTATATAACATGTAACCTTACCTCTGGCTTCTTCAGCTTCTTCATCTTCTTCATCATCACCATCTTCTTCTTCTTCTGCTACTGCGGCTGCAGCTTCTGCTTCTTCTTCTTCTTCTTCTTCTGCTACTGCGGCTACAGCTTCTGCTTCTTCTCTTTCACTATCAGATGAAGCCATGAGCACTTGAGTGGATGTACTTTAGTTTGAGATCCTTGTACACAACTAAACTTCTTTAAAACTCAATTCACTAGCTAAATCTATATATGTATATCACCCAAAAAACTCACTTCTGCTTGGGGATTATGGAAGAGTTTGATGTCCATATATATAGAGAGAGCAAAGAAGAAACCCAATTCTTCTGCCAAACGATTTAATAAATTGAGTAAACTACACTTTTCACTCCTATAGTTTGAGTTAAATTTTATTTTAGTTTCTATAGTTTTAAAGTAAATAATTTGATTCTTACAATTTAAAAGTAGTTTCAATTTGGTCATTTTATCCAAATTGAAAATTATATATAATTAACAATTATGTAATGCTTATCAATTTTCTAAGTTGTACATATAGTCAAAATTAACACTAAATTGAAACTAAACTTAAAATGAGGGATCAAATTATTCAAATTGAAACGATAAAGACCAAAGTATAATTTAGATCAAACTGTTAAAGCATATCTAGAGTATATTATTTGTTAGGTTTTCTTATTCTCATGATTTATTAATTAGTGTTGGTTGTTATCTATTCCTATTATACTTAGGACTCTTATATTCTTATACACCTGGGTTTCTTGGCCTATATATATAGTGTAACGAACCGGATTTTTCGTAAACCTTTATTTATTTATTTATTTATTATTATTATCTTATTTTATTTTTAGATTTATTAATTGTGTGATTAAATGAAAATTTAATAAAATATTTAATTAATTTAATGTGATATTTAATTATATATAATTAATCTGAATATTTATATATATTTTATATATGTATATAAAAGGTGGTATATATATATATATATATATGTGTGTGTGTGTTGATCATATATAATATATTTATATATATTGTATTTGTATAATATAATATTATATATTAAAAAAAACAAACAAAAGGGTGTTATATTATGTAATATCTTGTAAACAAAACAAAAAATAAAGAAAACAAAAAGAAAATAAAGCAGCAGCCGTGAGAGAGAGGGAGGGTGAGAGAGAGAGAGAGAGAGAGAGAGAGAGAGATTAATTAATCAAGAGAGAGCCGAGAAAGAGGAAAAAAGAAGAAAAAGATTAGGGTTTTATTTTGGTAGTTCTATTAATTTTTTAAGTAATTCTTTGATTTTTAAAAAAATATTATAAATACAAAACTCACTTCTCTTGATTTATGTTTAATTTGTTGTTTTTATTTATTTTATGTTAGTTTGATTTTTTATTTACATGAAGATGATAGATTGATTTTAATTATTTTGATTAGTTGTGTATGCAAGATTTAGGATTTTTTTTATGTATTTATTTTATGATTGTAATCACACTCATGATTATATGAAATTGAAATAAACTTAGAATACATAAATATTGGTTAGATGATAGATTGATTCGTTGTTTTTATTTATTTATTTTTATTTATTTGATGTTGGTTGGATTTTGTATTTGCATGTAAATGATGGATTGATTTCATTATTTGATTAGATGTGTATGTAAGGTTTAGGGTTTTTATATGTATTTATTTTATGATTGTAATTACACTCATGAATCTATAAAATTAAAATAAATTAGAAATCCATAGATAAATTTCTTACACTCCACCATGACTCTATGGATTATTATTTTATTTGAGTGTTGGTGAGAAAAAGTATTAAAAAAAAGTGAGGATTATGAGATTTATTTGAATGCCTTAAGCTTGACATTGTTATGTTTGTTCTCATGAGTAGATGAGAGATTGTGTATATATATATATATATATTGTTGTCTCGTTCTCATGAGTAAACGAGTGCTTTGATTTATGCGCATACGTATATACTAACTATCCGGGGAGTGTGAGTCAAATTCGGGACGGTATCCCCGTGCAAGTTTGGCTTCGGAGCGGTATTAGGTATATGGGAGACACATGAGATATACGTGTAGGCCGGAAGTGGAGGCCAAAGTGGTAGAGTGAAGGTACAAAGAATTTAATTATGAGTTTATTGGTATAGTGTGAATTATATTGATTTATACAATTTGAAAAATAGTAAACAACCTCTATAAATTATGAAATTTGAGCAGAGGTATGTATACGTGATTCTAGACAACTTTTGTGTTTTAACTTTTTATTAAAAAGATTGATTAGAACTTATAATCGGATGATCTTGGTTATAGTAGTTTTGATTCATTTTAGCAATGCAAATTTTAAAGGCTGCTTTAATCTACGAAACGAGCTCATTTTTATTGGTTATGGGTAAACTGAAGTATATATTATTCTGGACACTTTTTGTGTTTTGAACTTTTTCGAAAAAAATCATCTTACAGTAGTTTCTTTTCGTTTTCAGTTACAGATTTTTCGATCGAATTTTTATTACGATTTTCTATTAATTTTTTATCTCAACTTGTTCAGTTTCTACTAAATTCATCCGCGTTACTTTTTAGGAAATTTGATTCTGTACAACTTTTATTTTTTGAGTTTTGGTCAATTCGAATTATTTAAGTATGAAACGGTACATTTTTATACTTTTTCAGCAAGTTACTTATAATTAAATTATACTAACTTTATTTTTTTTGCAAGATGGTAGGTCTTACTAACTTTTTATGCAGGGCTGACCCACCATATTTTTATTTCTATTTTTTTTATTTTATACTCAATTTATATTTCGTTGTGTACAGACAAGAAACTATATGCCACAGTATCTCGGGAAACTACCCATTCGTCTTGGAGCGGGTGGAACTACTTGTCTTATCCCGTAACAAGAATTAATGTACTTTTTGTTGGTGTCTAGTGGACATGTGGGTGTCAAATCTTGTACTCATACCAGTATACATGTGTATTGAGTCGTTTTGTCTCTTGGCAACTCAAGTGCGTTCTATTTGAGCGCAGCCAAGCTTTCTTTGCAAGATTAGTTGGGACTATGATAGTGACAAGAAATAACTATGATCGTAGGACATGTCGTTTGGATTTCTTTTATTTTCTTGAGCTTAGGGTTGATATTAGTTTATGTACTTTTTTTTTTTATGACTTTAGTATTTTGATAATCTGGCATGGTTTGTAACTTTACATTATTTAAGTTATTTTGACTATTTATTGTTACTTTAATGTTGGATGTATTGGTTAGTTATGAAATTATGGTGAATGGCTTATTTAGCATTTTGTTAGTTTTTTTTATCCCTTGTAATCTTTTAAGGATGGAAATTTACTTAAATCCTTTGGAGATGTGAACGTTTAGATTTTGTTTCACCCCTAAGATTTGGATGATGAAATATTGATTGGGATTTAGTCTTAATTTAATATTTAATTGTCCAAATTTTGGGGCGTGACATACATACTTCTCCTATTGTAATTGATAGATTGAATATATACAATACATAACATTTTCCTCTCTCTCTACTATTCTAACATGGTATCAGAGCCTAGGGTTTTCTCTTAGCCTCCTCTTCATCTTCATCACCTTTTCTATTTTTCTCTTTCTTTCTTCTCTGGTAGATTGATTCATTCTCACGTTAGTTTTTGCATATCTCATCCTTTCCTGTTTCAACAATTGGCCTATACGATCATCTTTGTCTCTTCAAAACGAAGCCAACGCTATCCGAATTGTCTCCACGCGCCGCTAGAAATTAGGCACACGTTATGCCGTCTCCTACGCGCATTCACGCACCTCTGCTCCAATCACGAGCTATCTTGCGCCGCGGCCTCACCTGCTAACGTGAGCCGTGTGTTCTGACGTCATCGCTAACGTCTGCCCTGGTTGACTATGCGATGCTACTGCTTCTTGCTATCGTATGCCGCGCGCACCTCTGATAACGTACGCCGCGCGTTTTTGACGTCAACCCTCCTTGCTGTGACATCAGCCTTAGTGTTGGTACTCCTTTTTTGGTCAAACAACTTTGACCAGCAGCTTTGCTGCCTTTCTGGTCGTGTTTTTGGCCCATTCAGACCCTATTCCACCTATTTTCGACCTCTTGAATCCACTAGTGTGTTCTGTTTTGGAAAAAATTAGCCTCTAAAAAGCACCATCTTCTTCTTTTTTTTTTGCATTATTTGAGCATTATGGATCGTACCTAGCACATCCACTCTATTTTCGTTATCCTTGATAGGTCAAATTATGTTAGTTGGGCTCAAGCTCGCTATAGCTTCATCAAAGGGAAACGCCTTTGGCACATTATTACTGGTGCTCTTTCCAAACCCAACCAGAAAGTGAATGAGACTGACTGTACATTCGATGACCGTCTTGACGAATGGAAAAATAAGAATTATCAAATTATCACCTGGTTCCGAGCTACCTCAGTTCCCTCCATTCATCTCCAGTTTGGCCGGTTCCAAGATGATGCTCAAATTACTTCCCCTGCCAAAGAAATTTGGGATTTCTTGAGGGACTGTCATCAGACCACTGGCCATGCTCATCAATATTAACTGTTGCGGACTCTTCATCATATGCTCCAGGCACCCAGTCAGTCTATCAATGAATTCTTATCTCAGATGTCATCTATTTGGGACCAACTAGCTCTTTCTAAGCCTACATAGGCATATTCTGAGGATGCACAGCTGTTTATTACTTATCGGAATCATCAACGACTATTACAGTTCCTTATGGCTCTTCATAGCACTTTTGAGCCCATACGTGCTTCATTGCTTCATCGTTTGCCCTTGCCCACTTTAGAGCAAGCCATTACTGAATTATTATTAGAGGAGACTCGATTTAAGACTCTCAAACCTCAACATATGGATTTTGTTCTTGCTACGTCATCCTCACAGAGTTCCTCATCTTTACAGCCTGCTAGTTCATGCCAGTATTGTTCCAACCATAACTTGCCAGCTACTCATTCTTTTGTTCAGTGCCAGGTTCGCAAATGTTTTACTTGCCATAAGACTACTTCCGGTCATCTCCAACGCCATTGTCCTCGAGCCCCCTCCAAGAAAGGGTCTTCTTGTTCTGGGTATCAGTCCAAATTTGGCCAAGGTTCTCGCTCTGTTGCTGTTGCCTCTGAGGGTTCTTCTCCTCACCACTCCAGTGATTCTACTACTCCTTCATTCTCTATGGATGATATTCAGTCCATCATCCAACAGGTGCTTACCAAATCCGGTACTCCTCCCTATATTGCTCTTTCAATGACTTCAGGTAATTCTCCCTGGTATTTTGATTCCG